CCACTACTATGCCGTACTTTGCCACTACTTTGCCGTACTTTGTCACTACTTTGCACTACTGTTTTCGTTAAACAAGTCACGATGTGAAATTTGGACCAAATATGTCACATGCATGATGTCTTGGCCATGTTTACTGTTCGCAATTTGTATGAAAAAACTTTCGAACATAAATTACAATTTGATTACGACTAATAAAGATGCATGTTATTCATCAACAAACAGTCACGGTGAAAGGGCAAACATTAATGTTTTTCAAGTCAGCCCTTCGATGGTGTGTCACTGCATTCAAACCTCTGTAGCAATCAATGTACACATGACGCAGTTTAGGCTGTAAGTACGCATGTGCTGGCCGTGCTTATCGATATCGAGTCGATATCCGGATACAGAAACAGAAACAGAAAACAAACAAAAAATCGTCCAAATAAACTTTGAAAATCAGTAATCAATTGGCAGTCACAAGAGAGGTCTGCGAAACCTCACCTAAGCCCAGCAGTCATAGGATGGGGGATTGTCACATCTACTGTATACGTGAACTACACGATACGAATCTTCCGAAATGACATAGTATTGATTAGAATAAAACTTAGCACCTGCTTAGCACCTAGGTTACGTGCGGATATAGATTTTGTCTGTCCATTTCGAAGTTCATAAATAACAAAATTTTCACAGTATGAACGTCATTGAATAACTAGCATGATAGCGATATTTAACTACCTTGACCGATGACAAATAACACTGGAAATAAGTTTATTCACACGAAACAAATGAATCACCAATGTAAGATAATAACAAACATATCCAAACACAAATCTAACACACCACTGCTAAAGGTATAAATAGTGTTATATCTTCACAGAGTGTGAATACTAGTAATATCAAGCAAACAAAATGGTGGAGTTTTCAGTTATAATCAGGATTATTTACATAACATTTGAATTAGCATAATAAATAATATGCAAATTTATGTTGTAATTATCATATCTATTGTCATACTAACCAGGGACTAGGGTATGAATTCACATATACATCACATTTATGTAATAAAGACAACTGTAATGAAGTTTCAGGTTAATTTGTATTATTAAATCATGGTTATCATCATAATTATAAATTAACAAAATAAAATTATAAATTCATGTTTACAAACAAATTCATTAAATCAATAGCTTTTTTGACAGTCGATAGTTTATTTAATCAAGAACATTATGTGTCCATACGTCCAAATGATTGCGTCCTTGAATAATGCTTTAATTATTCACTGTGTTTTTATTTCGCTATTTTCGCAAATAATTAAATCTATGTGAACATGTAAAATAATAATAAAACAGATTGTTTTCTTGACAAATAAAACACAGTGACTATGCTCAAAACATCAGAATAGAGAAATTGATTTATTTCGTACAACTGCAAAGTTGTCTGCACAACATCCATAACAAGTAAATAAAAACATTGGAGCCAATGATAGTAAGTGGTCCAGCCCTTACACACGCCAACGATTGAAATTTGCTTAGTTCCTATCAAATTAAAAGATACCTCATTTGTGAGTCGTGCTTTTGATACAAACCGAAGATCACGACCAACCCGTCGTGAAACTACTGCCTGAACTGAACTGCCTTCCTTGTCTCCGTTCGGAAAAAATAAAAAAAGCTCGCTTAATTACTAATTATTAAATGACTGCATATTTTGTTTAAAAATCTCAAAGGAAAATAAACATTGAATAAAGTAAAAATCAACTGCTTCGTTTCATCTGAGAAAGATTAAACCCGTGCAAAAACGAATGTGAAACATTATTGTCTGCTCGAGGAGAAGACACTAGGAGTCGTGTGCAAATAGATTGTTACAAATATTAGATCACATGGAAGGACTTTCTGTCACGTTGTGTAGACATAATGCGTAAAATAGAACATTTACATATTTAATAAAACTGACAAACGTCCTTGCTGTTGCTGTCGAGTGTATGCCTAATCAATGGATTAGCTACTTTGAATTGAAACCGCTAAACGCGGGGAATTCAGCCTTCCGTTTCTCTGCTCGTGGCATCGCAACAGGTCAAAGTCAGTACTGGGTCGAACGAATAGCGATGACTACTACTAGTATATTAATTTTGAATGATCGTAAATATTTTTTCAACCCAATAGTAGTGAATCACTGATTATTATATATATATATATATATATATATATATCTTGCAATGTCTGGAACGCTACTGAAAAAGTCATCAGTTTTCCATCTATATTCAAAAAGAACAGTATCGGACCCGTACTTTTCTTTCCCCTTTCCCGTTATCTTTTATTGCCATGTTCTTTACACTTCCAAGAAAATTTCCAAAAGCTTTCACGTTAAAAAAAAATCGATCATTTTCTCAACGACAGGCCTCGCCAAAGGATTGTGCAGTCTTGTCTTGAGCATTAATGTAGAAGGCTACTCATGATTTCAAAAACCTAGAATTTATTCATTTTCCAATAAATTGTACATCCGGGCAATATAAGGATATTGACTTAAAAAAAGTTGGAGTCACCAGCTTGATTTTCCCGAAAATGATGATTTTATTTTAGTGAATAATTGCCATATTGGCAGTATTATAACATTTTTACCACAGGTTCCTATGGTAGAGATATGCAATATCTCAAATTGTAGCCTGGTGACATAGGCTGAAAAATTTATATATTGTCAATGATGGGGTACTTATTAATGCCCTCAAAATTCTGAGTTTTATAAAATGTCAAAAAATGCAATTTTTCTTTAACACTGTGAATTGTTCTAAAAATAGCATTTTTTGCAAAATAATAGAACAAGTTTCTCAAAATACATCACTGTAACACACAAAAGAATGCTATTTCATGGTGCCATGGACCAATAGCTCCATGATTTTGCATAATAAACAAAAAAACATTGTCATGCGATTTATGACCAATTTTCTCAAAAATTATGAGTAGGCTTCTACCTTAACAACTTAGCCTTGAGAATATTGGCTATTACACATAACAAGCACACGCCCTGTGTTCGCGCATGTTTCTCTGGGCGTTTGATTCATCATGAGTGGGTATAATGTTAAACGATAGAAGAGCCTGTCCTAAATCCGTATATGGTTATGTACATATATGGATAGAGTTATTGGGTCGTTATTAGCATAACAATATTCAAAAAAGTAATCCCCTCTTGAATACCTCACTAGAATATCCCTCATTGTTTTACTTGCTTTATTTTAGCGTCAATTTTTTTTACAAACATTACCATATGTTTCCTGAAAATTTATAAATAACACAAAGTACAATTAAAACAAGGTGAAACTACCATGACCCAAACATGACCTTCAGATCCACGCCACAACTGACGATCACTGTGACATAAGATTGGATTTTATGCCCCAGCTAATAATTAGATATGCTGGTTACATAAAGGAATGGAAAAGAAGTGAAGGATTAGACGGAATATAACCTATTTTTTTCCTTCACAATTATTACAAGTTATTCCTGTGGTTATTTTTGGCACAACAAGAAATAAACACGAGTTAAAAATATTATATCTGAAACATGTCTTTTAATTCCATAAACTATATGAACATAACCATTACATTCACAATATTTTGTTTAAATTGTTTGTGTCTATTATAAATGAATTTCTCATCACCAGGTTCTTTCAATTTCGTTATGGTATGATTTCCTTCCTTCCACTTTGTTGAACGGATTGAATGGACACGTGAGCGTGACTGTACGAGACAATGGTCCTTTGTGTGCAAATTTCTTCTCTGTCATATAGGCTTCTCGAGGCAGTGCGCTAAACACAAAAGAATTGTGTTATTATATTATGCAAATTATGTAACTTTATTAACATTCACTTATTCCCGGAAATGAAAATGATTACGAGGCTAAAAAAGAAATAAATGTGTTATAGTTGTGTTGTGACGCTTTAGAGTATCACCTTTTTTATGAACAGTGAAAGGTTGTTTCTTACCAATAACTTAGACGCTGAGAACTGCTGGTCCTTAGATCTACTTTGTTTTGCTCTATTGTCGCCTCCACGGGCGAACGTGGTAGAAATCCTGCATATCTCGGGCATGGACGAACACTAAACAAGAAAGACAAAATTACAAATTAACAAGTTTCTACCTTCAGTTGAAGACGGGCGTAAATATTTACATCCCAGTTATTCACAATTGTAGTGTCGGCATATTAACTCACGGGACATCTTAGGCATCATTATCAAAGATGACGAGAACTGAAGTATATG